ACACGATGGGGTAGATCAAACCTAAAAAAAAATTCTCCTCAAATAAAATATTACTTAATTTGAAAGAGCAAACAAAACTGAACTTAGTTTTTGTGTTCGAACTCCTTCAAATTTGCCCACCCCATTCGTTTAACTAATTTGAAATGGAGAGAGATAAAAAGGGGATGAAATAGGAGAGTGAGTACCAGTCAAAACAGAGGAATAGATCAAATAGGCAACAAATTGGGTGCGTTCAGCAATGGAGCCACTGGTGATACCGGCGGCGGCAATGGCAAAAGCCCATTGGAAGATGAAGAAGCCATAATCGTAGGAGGAAGAAGGGAACTGAGCGAGGCCAAAGTAATGGTGGCCAATGAAGCCATTAGAAGGGGTTCCAAACGCCAACGCGAATCCAAAGACGTAGTAGAAAATGCCGCCGGTGGCAGCGTCGAGCACATTGGTAAGCATAATGTTCATGGTGTTCTTGGCCCGCACGGAGCCCGCGCACAGCATCGCAAACCCCAGCTGCATTGCGAACACCAGATACGCGGAGAACAGAAGATAAGTGTTGTCCACGGCGTAGGACACGGCGTCGAAGCGCCCGCAGATGTAGTCGGCCACGGCGGTGGCGTTGGCGGAGTCGCCGAGGAGGAGCCGGAGCTCGTCGGCGGAGCAGGTTGCAGCCATGGTTTTGGAATTTGGAGGAGAGGGCCAAGGCCGGGGCTGTGTTTTTATAGACTGTGATTCAGCGTGGAATTGGTCCGGTGGAGAGATTCTTGAAGATTCCAATTCCAAAGATGGGAACGGAATTAACCAAATGGGAGTGGATCCTCCATAATAGGAGATCCACCCAACATTCTCTCTATCAATCTACATTCAAAGATGTATATTATTTTTGTTTAGGATACAAAATTATATTGTTCCATTTCAGTTTTCCCCTTTCATTACTTCTAGTCTAGTTGAGCACGAACCAACATGACTTTGTTAATGTTTTAATCAAGTTAGAACTATTAGAATTTTTGCCTAACATTGAAGGTGGTTCTTATGTTAACTAAACTTTTGGTTTAAATCTCAGTTTGTTCCCTCTTGAGAACTTTGGACTCACACCCTTGTTTTTGCAATCATGATTAGAACATAGACAGAATTTCAATTTACTATAACATCAACTTAGCAATGAGAAAACTTTCGAACATTAAATAATAATAATAATAATGTGTCTTATTGCTTCCATCGATTACGCCTAGATATTGCAATAATGTGTTTTATTGCAATCATAAATAAGAAAACAGAATTTAATTTAATTTTCTGCCTAAATATTGCAATATGCTCAAGTTGGAAAGCATGTGTTTAACTATTTTTATTTTTGTGAATTCACAATTTTGTCCCCACATTCGGTAGAATCTAAAAAAAAAAAAAATGAAAATTTATTTTGTTAACAATTGTTGGGATTCTCCTATTTCCATTCCACCTGGGATTATGCAATTATCACCTATTAATAGATAGTTGTGTGGCACTTTTCTATTGGTTTATTAATACTATATTTCATAAATAAACCCAACTAATAACTACGATATTAAATTTTCATCTTAATATTGACATTTCCAACACATCCATAGGTTCAACATTAATCAATATTTTTATAATACCATCCAAGAAAAACAAACAAAAACAAAATATATAAAATATACAAACATAATATTAATATTAATAAATTTTAAACTATTTAAAAAGAGTGAAATGTTAGTTATTATTCTAAATATTTGTTATAAATTTGTTGTTAAAATACTATTTTGGTCTCTAGATTTTTAGCCGTGGTTCATTTTAGTCCCTCTATTTTGAAAATATTCATTTTAGTCCGTTCATTTTAGTCTATGCAATTTGAAAATATTCATTTTGATCCGTGTAATTCTAAAAAGTGATCATTTTAGTCACTCCTTACAAGATTTTAATATAAATTTCCCACATAACGGAAACAATTTAATATAAAGTAATATTTACATTTTAGGAAATATATTGATCATAATGTAAGGTTGAAATTGTGATAGAAAAAATGAGACTTAAAATAAAATGATTGCACCAAAATCGTGAACATTATCAAAGTATAAGGACTAAAATGAACTAAAATTGAGAGTACAAGTACCAAAACAAACATTTTAAGAGTAAACTAAAATGAACCAAAACCAAAATTACAGGAACCAAACTAATATTTTAATCTAAATTTTTATTTTTATAATTCTCTAAAAATATTTATCATTTCTATAAAATTGAGAGCTCGACATTTCCATCCACATTGTTAATGTCTCCCTTTTCCCGAGAAGGAAGAATTTTATACAAATTGCCCAAAATTTTGGCCTCAGTTATAAATTTCTGCCTAAATATTGCAATTATGATTAGAACAGAGATTTTAATTTGAGAAAACTTGGAAAGTTAAATAATAATAATAACAACATTCTTTAGGTTGCACACTAGCACAAGAATTGTTCACCTGCCGCAAGGTAAAAATGTAAATAAAATTTGAAAAACCACAAACTCTAATCAACCCGAGCTCCAAAAAATGGCTATGGAGTCTTCATGGCCTATGCTGCTTGATCCAATAAACTCACGAAGGAGGACCCCATCTCCCAGCTTTGAAATCTTTGTAAAATTTTGAGTTCCTCCAAACAACATAAAAGACTGCATTCGAGAGAAAGACAGAGAGAATGAGAGGGGAAAAATGCAGAGATTACAACAGCAAAATAGTTATAATGTTCACAAATAATTAACATAACGGCGCACCTGGTATTCCTGGTATGAGGCAGTTAGGCGCCTTTAGAACGTCGTGAAGCGTTCTTTTTTCGTTAACTTTGATCCATTTAGAAGAGCCTTCATCTGGGAAAGCCATGCACAGAAAGCAGATGACAATATTATAGAGTATAATCAGTACAGCACAGAATATTAAAGAACCTAAATGCTACTTACTGCTGGAAGCATGAATTGCATAATAAAAGAAAATAAAATAACACGTGATCTTGAAACTGTCTAAAATTCCAACAATGTGTCTTTCTTATTGAGAAGATATTCTCTAGGTAACCTATGAACAAGGTAAGTAAAAGGATATTGGGAGGAAAGTGGTGAACAGAAGTTTGCCCAACTTTCTTGCATATTACAGTCAAGATCAGCGAACTACAGATTTTATATATCATAAAACCATTTCATATCTGAACGTAGTCCTTTTAACACCCACATCATATGACAGGTTTTTACTTTCTAGGAAGAACACCAATGTGTTGTCACCTGTGTTTCAATAGACCACTTTCGTTTTAGTTTACTTTTTGACAAAGTTCTGGTTCTAGCTCTTGGTTGGCGTATAGGTTTATACCCCTTTGCTAATTACAGTCTTAATGATCAGCCTTTTCGTAATCCAATTTTTTGAGCTCTTTTTTCTTTAATATATATTTCATACTATCAATGAAAATCAGTATTCAGACATGTCACAGTGAATTAAAAAAAAGAGAGAGCTATTGATAAGAATAGTCAAGAATTTTGAGCAAATACAGACATGAAAATCTTACTTGCAGAAGTGTCATGATTTGAACATTCAATTGCATCTTTCTCGTCAAGTACGAGGTTTTCTGCATTAGAAGCAGCAGTTCCCTCTAGAAGATGTCGTATAATATTTACTTTTGATAAACAAATTCCTGAACCAACCTGATACAACCAGCATTAAAAAATCAATATTTTGACAAAAGTAATTGATTGAAAGGATTTTAATTTTGAAACCAATAATCAACAAGCAAAACCTGACCCCTATAATAAGTACATAAACTAGCACACACATAAACCTCGCCAGTAATCAGAAAGAACTCAGTCCATTCACAATATCTTGCAGTTCAGAAGACAGACACCGTTTATGTCCATGCAGAAACGTTCAAACAATAAGTGCCTCAATAAAAACAACTGTGAAACCCCGAAGTTAGGTCCGATACTTCCATTTGATGAGTTATCAAAAGAGTAAAATATCTCAATGTAACAAAATTTCATGTAATAGATACCTCATAGTATAATTCAACAGCTTCACGGGTATATTTGTTCTCTACATCCCATGGCAAAGGTGGACAACCTTCTGAAAACATGTTCGAAGGTTAAGGGTTCCAGCAGCAGAAAGATATACTTCATACTTGGGGGATTTTCCAATTTCACAAATTCACCAACTCAAATGAAAAATCCTTATACGGTACACACAAAAAAAGAAAAAAAAAAGGATATCATGTCCAAATGAGCTGAAAACATATCAGTCTCGCAAAAATCCTCAATGAAGTCACTGGACATAACCTCTGCATACAGTAGAAGAACTGGCCAATGAAGAATATTATTTTTATCTAATACAGGCTTTCTTAGTCCAGTTAGTTCTTGATACGTCGCCTTCCCAATCTTCAAACCTCTATGTACAATTGCAGAAACAAGCTTCTGCATAATTTATAATAAAACAAGAATTGAGCAACTAAATGATAAAAGCAAAAGTCTAATCATATATTGCATATTAAAAAACCTCTGCCTCTGCAATAGCCTTTCTGACTTGAGCCTCACGTTGTTCCTGCTCGGATTTCAGCGAATCAATCTGTTCCTCAATTTTCTTGATTTCTACATTATTTGGGTCACACTTGATCCCACTTACACAGTAGGACTTTGCTTCATCTAATAAATTCAGGGAAAGAGATGCCTTAGCAGCTCGATAAATTGCCTACATTGCAATCACATCCTATCATTAAACTATATATATTCTAAATATAGGACAAGCAAAAGGGAAAACGTTATATTAGAGAAGCTAGTAACTTGTAGTAGGAAAAAAGTAAAAGATTACAACACTGATGGGGTCTTTCTTCCTTCTTAACTTAAATAGAGAAGCAAGAATTATAAAGTTAAGTTATAAGGCAACACATGTACTGAGGAAAAAAAACTACCTTGATGTTTGTGGGACACAAATTGATTGCTTCTTCAGCATCATTAAGGGCTCGTCTATAGTTTCCAAGCAGCAAATTCACATGGGCTCTATTTGCAAAAAGAACAGAGTTCTCGGAGTTGCTTAAGACTTTTTGATTTATTGCTCTAGTGTAACAATCAATAGCATCAGAATAGTGTTTTCTACCCAACCTGACGAACTCATTTCCCTTTTCCTGCAAAGAGAAAAATTGACAACTTTAAAAACAAAAACCAGATCCACCCACACCGGGATTGAGATTGATAGGTCCAAGTTCATTAAAACTTGAAACCTAGAACTTGTTTAACGTGATTTCTTATGATACTGAGACACTGAACATTAAAGACTCCGGTTTCAAATGCACACCAATATCAAGTATAAAGAATAAACTGCAATAGATTGCGGGTTTCAGACACTTCATTTTCCTATCACAGGGAGCAACATTGACCAGTTTTTCAACAGCATACGGATGTAAAGTCACTACTAAGAACTACCAGACTCCATGATTTCACACTGAAGAATAAAGATAAATAAAAAATAAGGGAAGAATAACCAACAGTCACACCAAAGTCAAAATAAAACGAAACAGAGAGTTGTCAAAACAGACAATAAGGAACAAGAATATCCTAGCCAAAAACCACCAGCTCAATTTCATCACTTTTACTTGAGAGCAACTTCTACTAAAAAAAATTGTTCAGCTTATCCCGAACGATTTTGGAGCAATTAAGCAAACAAAACCACATAAATTTAACCACCCGTGGCAAACGAATCAGGCAACAAAACAATCAACTTCAGTTTCCAATCATTTTAAGTAATCAGAAAGTAGAACTTTCATTCGGAAAACGCGAAAACGTACATATGACGGAGAGAGAGACCTTGAGCTCGAGAGCAGCAGACTCTTTAATGGCAGATATTGCATCAAGGTCAGCCTTCTCGCTTTCTGTTAAGGGATTCGAACCCTCCTCCATCCACAGTGCCATTTTTCGCTCAGCGTTTCTCCGACGAACGGAAGAGAAAACGAACAGTAAGCTCCACTCAACTCAGCTTCAGCTTGGCGCTTCGAGGGAAAGAGAACCAACGGCGGGTTATGGCAACGCGCGCATCTGAATATAGTCCGCACTTTGGGCTTCGGCCCAATTCCATAGTGGGCCGGGCGCTACCTGAGTCTGAAGTTCCGAAAGATCTCATTCCTAGGCCCATTTTTATTTTCAATAGTTCTCGTTTTAAGAAATGATAATTATATATTTAAAAATTTCAACCCCACTTGTCATAAAATTAAAACCATAGACAAAAGTCTTTTAAGTTTGCCATGTATCGTTTATACATAGTATAACCAAAATAGAACATATATGTAAATATTAAAATTGAATGAAACCAAAAGAGATGTTTTGTCTTAAGGTAACTCCGGATTGGACTATGATGAGACTGTAATTCTCGACTTCTCAGAAGAACAAATAATAACTAATTCAGCTATGATAATTGTGTTGGAAATAATGTACATATTACAAAAATGATACAAAGTGAATACAGCTATATCCTTCTAAACCATCTACCTATAATCACCTCATTTTTCCCAGTCCAATATTTGCTCTTGAAAATTTTCGTTTCCGTGTCGAGGCAAACTCACTCCCCATAAGCCAAAGGATCTGCAGATCGATCTACCGTCTTCAAATTTTCATCTCCCAACATCTGCCAAGCAAAGCCAGACAGAACTATAGTATATGGTCATTTATCTTCCTCCTCCGAATCAGACTTTGCAAACACAGGCTCTGGCTGAGTATGTGAATACGCGGGTGCAATGTACTTCGGATCCTTTGCTGCAACATCAGCAAACTTAAGAATGGCTTCTCTTGGATCTTCTTCCATCCATGTCTCCTTAATCAAACCTCCTTGCTGTAATGAAACAAAGAAATCAAGATCAGCAAACCTGGTCTATTCATATTCTAACCATCAACAAATTCCTAAAATTTTAGGCCGGACGGACAATGTAAATCTTTCTACTTCTCGTGGTATGACGACAGATCGAGAACCTCGACTACTAAGAATCAGGGAGACATTGTTTTGTGTAATACATGTTAATCTTTGTGATATTCAAATTATACACAAAACTTCTCTACTTGTAAAATTTCATTCCCAGTTCCAATAGCTAACTGAGCATAAAAAGTTGTTTTATCCGACTTGAGAGAAAAGTGGATGACAATTACCTTCATAAGATACTGGGTTAATAAGCTCCCTTGACTTACACCAACCCTTCCACCAAAGCCAGGTCCGGTAATCGGGAGTTCAGGTTTATGAGACTTGAGAGGGTCCTTGAGTATTTTCTCGCGTTGTCGCTTTCGGCTTGGTGCATCTCTAAATAACGGCAGGGCATGAGGGTTGTGGATAACAGGTTTTGCCTCAAAATCATCAACAGATTTTTTCCTTGGTGCACGTGCAACACAAACTAGAGCTCCTCTCTCACTTAGTGTTGGATCATACAATATGTGAGTTCCTCCCTGGCTTTTATCTCCGGAAGTTGCAAATATCTTCAAAAGGGAAAAAGAAAAATTGAACTGTATAAGCCACTAGCATCGTTACAACTTGCAGAGTACTGAGTTCGACAAAAAGAAAAAGGAAAAAAAAAAAAAAACTTATGCCAGGCAGCGTAGGGAAAGACTTTGAAATAAATAATACAACACCCTTTAACATCAAACTGGCATAGTATCGTATGCTTAAAAGTCTGAATAGCGTCTATATCTCGCACATCTTATGTCCAGAATAGATTCATACGTTCAGTCATTGGCTGCTCTTTCATGCTTCATAACAAGGTTTTTAATATGCACATTTTATGTGTTTTGCACGATGTGAGATGGAAAAAGGAACAATAACTGTACCTGATTCAACTTTGGGTGCCAAGCACACTGCACAACACTACAAGTAGGGGATATTCCCACCCTGGAAACAAGTTCCAGCTTTGTTCTATCAAAGAAGCAGAGCAGACCTCCTGTTTGGCTCTGTTTCTCAACCGACGTTCCAGTTAGAAAGAGTTGCTCATCAGGACTAAATGCAATATTTGTTTGGGCATAGTTATTTGGGAGATCATCAAACACTTTGAGAGGTTTTTTCATCTGGCGCAAATCCCAAACCTGAGAAAATCGTTATTAGTAGGAGGGGAGTTGCCAAACAAACAAGAAGAAACAAGTGAAAGTGAATTCTCTGAACACATTGACAATATACCTTTAGTGAACCATCAAAGCTTCTTGACAGTAATATTTTCCCATCACTTGAAAACTTAAGTGCGGTGATATCGTCTGAATGACTATTTTCAATGTGTAGGTCAGGCCTGCTTCCCCATCCAGGCTTAAGGTTCCATATCTGTTAAAGACGTACAACGTCAAGATGTTAACATATGATGTCAAGGCAAATTTAAGTTGAAGAACTAAACTGATCTAATCAGAGTGCAAGGAAGCCCTATATGAGGGGAGAGAGAATTAAAAAAATTTCAATCATTTAAGCTTACTGCAAAAAATAAAATAAAATAAATAAAAAAGAGAGTCAGAATGGCAATCAACGATACCTGAATAGAACCATCACCTATGCCACCTGCGATGCTTTTTCCTTCACGATCCCAAGCACATGTTGTCACTGGAATTCTTCCAGGCCTGGCCAACTTTGGTTTGATAACCTACACATTGAGTTACTGAAGCATTAATCGAAGGCCTCCATTCATTCCTCACCTTCAGCAGTGTACGATACAATTTGCAATGGCAAATGCCAAAGCATTAAAAAGAGGAGGGGGAAAAAAAAAGACCAAGCAGCAGTGCTCTTTAACTTGAAAAGTTAGGATCCTTCTTTAGAAAAATATCTCCCCCTCCTTCCTACCCACAGAGTTATAATGTATTGGAAGAAGCAAAGAGAGAGGAAAAAGACAGTGAGAGGAGAAAAAAAACTATTTGGTGGGAGGAAACAAAGAACAAATACTTTAAAGGAGACAGTAAACTGATACTCATTTCATTGAATTTGCCTCTTATACCAACAAAAATGGTAACCAAATACTCCATTCCTAATACAGAACAGCAAGAATTATCAATAAATGATTATGCACAAGGCCTAATCAAATATGGAATGGAAGTATTTTTTGTCCTTATTCAAATAGAATCCTAGAACAATGGATTTCTGAAAATGTCCTTAAAACACGAGAGAGAGTATTTGTCTTTGTGCATACATCATTCTCTCTCAACTAAACTACATTTATATTGTAGTACTAAAACGGATAAGGTAGAATTACTCCTTCTCATAAATCTCCCTTCAGCGTTTTATGTTCAGACATTATATTTCTTTTCTTATTCTACCACCTCCAACAAGCCTCTGTAACAATATAACAAATAATCGAACAAGGAAAAAAACTCGTGGATGAGTAAATATATGAGATTCACTCAATAAAAAGACTTCAGGATAATGGTACACTAGCATACATTGCAAAAAAATTTTGTTAGTTAACTGTCACAATGTCATAGTAAAATGAGAACCTGTTTTTGACCCTTGAAGTCATTTACATCCCATATTCGCAGAGATCCATCTTCTGACGATGTCAAAATTGTCTCTTTGGTTTTAGGGTGCCACTCTCCACAAGTCAGTCCAGATATGTGCCCTTTAGTGTTCTTCAGATCACGTATATACATATCTCCCTTCATAAACTCTCCTAGAGTAAGTCCATCGCGGTCATAAATCTGAAATGCCAATAAGATACCATACCAATAAGATAAACATTAGTAAAATATTTAGATACTTCCATTCAGCCTCAGGCAACAATTAAAAATTTTTTTATTTTGCACCTTTGCCTGAGCTGAGCCAGTCACACACAAAAAGCGGTCAGCCGTTGGACTCCAGCTAAGATTACGAATTTGATGACCTTCAAATGGTTCCAGTTGTCTGAAGGATTGCAAACGAGAGTTCATCCCTTGGAAGTCATACATTCGTACTGTATAGTCATAACTACCAGAAAGAACTCTAGACCCAGAGTGATCGATAGCGAGAGCTGAAACTACCTGTAAAAATTCATATAAAATTAATTGACAAGTTTTATGACTTATCAATCACAACCTTAAATCCAAGCCTCAATTTAGAAGTATTGTATGATTAATCTAGTTACAAAGACAAATAAGTAATTTTTTTTCTTTTTTTCTTTTTCGAGAAACCAAACTTTTATAGAGACACATGAAAAAAAATACAAGGTCATACCAGGAACCCTTCAAAAGGAGTCCCAATTAACAAATAAACTCCAAACAAAAGAATACAAACCCAACTGGTAATTACAAAACAGTTTAGTAATGGGGCCAATAAAGGAGTATTAAACCTAAAAACCTTTCACACCTCTTCCCAAGACCTGTCCACCCCTCCTCAATTTTACCCTTCCTCTCCAGTCATATACCCCACAAAGTAGTGAAAAAACAAGTCTAACAAAGAACTCTGCCCTCGTCACAGAAGGGAGAAAAATAAAAACCTCCTACAACAAGGAACAACAGTCCCTATTACAAGCCCACGAGATCTCAAAAGTTGAAGCAAAGCAGTTCCATAAAGCCCAAGCAAATGAACACTCCCAAAAATATATAATTGAAATCCTCCAATGCAAGCAAGCTTACACAGACTGCATCACTGCGGGCCCAAAACATAAGAAGAATGCCTCTAAATACGATTTAAGGTGTTAACTCTACCATGTAAAACCTACCATGCAAATAATTTGACGTTATTTGGGATCTTAACCTTCCAAAGAGAGGAGAAAGAAGGAGCATCAGGGAGGGCAAAGGGGCGCATAAAATTAGAAACATCGAGCTACAAAAAAGGCCCCCAAAAAGGTCGAGAACCCAAAAACAAACATTCCTAATCCCCAGGCCCATCTAAACATTGCTCAGGAAAGAAGGGCATACATATCCACCGTCTCCACATCTAATAAAGGATGACAGAAGCTCTAGAAAGAGAATAGTTAGAACCCGAGGAAGGCATAACAGAGGCCACTAACCTCTTGTCAGAAAGATGATACGAGGAAACAAAGCACAAATAGGCTTGTCTCCCAACCAACAACTATCCCAGAAATAAATATTTGAACCTTCCCCAAGAGAACATTTTACAAATTGATAGAACAAAGGAAAACCTAAAGAAATAGAACCCTTTAGACCCATTCAAAAGGGTGTGGACCGTATTTACTTACAATGATCTTGTGTTATAAAGTGTCTGATTCCTTCAAGAAATGTCATAGTCATTTGGCCAA